CAGTCCTCGCCAGCAACGACACCTCAGCTACATTGCCGAGTTTACCACTGATCTTCGATACGTCCCTGGTAAGGAAAACGCTGCAGCTGACGCACTCTCGCGTTGTGACCTACCCGATGACGCCATCGCAACCATTGCCAGCCTGGACTTCGGCAGCCTCGCCCTCGCTCAACGGGCCGACAAGGAACTCTCCAAGCTCCGTCACACTGTCCCTCCGTCAACATCACTCGTCTTCAAAGACATCCAGTTTCCCATGGTTAACACACCGATGACGTGTGATATCTCCACTGGCTCCGCTCGTCCATTCGTCCCAAGCCAGTTCAGACGAGGTATCTTCGACTCACTCCACAACCTCTCTCACCCCGGACACCGGACCACCCGGCAGCTCATCACCAGCCGCTACGTTTGGCCGTCAATGAACAAAGACATCGCTGCGTGGTGCCGCTCCTGTATCGCTTGCCAGCAAACCAAAGTCCACCGACACACGACCACTCCACTCGCCAAGTTCCGAAAACCAGATGCCCGATTCTCGCACGTCCACATCGATATTGTGGGACCGCTTCCACCGTCTAACGAGTTCTCGTACCTCCTAACAATGGTCGACCGTTTCACTCGTTGGCCCGAGGCCATTCCCATACCCGACATCACCGCCGAGACCGTCGCTCGCCACTTCGTGAGTTCCTGGGTTTCCCGCTATGGTGTACCGACTCTTCTAACTACCGACCGTGGTTCCCAGTTCGAATCGTCCCTGTGGTCCTCGCTGATGTCTCTCCTGGGTACGTCCCGCATCCGTACAACCGCCTACCATCCTGCCGCTAACGGGTTGGTTGAACGGTTTCACCGACAGCTGAAAGCCGCCATACGTTCTTCAGACAACCCCCGCCGCTGGACCGAACATCTACCGCTGATTCTACTGGGAATTCGTTCTTCCCTCAAGGCTGATCTAAACTGTTCGGTTGCTGAACTAGTCTACGGTTGTCAACTCCGTCTACCCAGCGATCTGTTCATCGAGACACATGAGCAGTTTCCAGATCCCACAGCCTATGTTAGTCGGCTGAAGCAAGCCATGGCTGAACTCCGCCCTACACAGCCCCGCCACCCATCTGGCCGATCCGTATTTGTTCCTGCCGACCTCGCCACCTGCAGCCATGTGTTCCTTCGCCAGGACTCCGTTCGCACACCGCTACAACGTCCATATTCTGGCCCCCACAAGGTTCTCCGTCGTACGGACAAACACTTCACCATCGACCTCAACGGCCGGACAGACGCTGTCTCTATTGACCGTCTGAAGCCAGCCTACATCGATGGTGAAGAAGATGCATCGGCTCGTCCTGCCCCGACGCCGTCTCTCGCTCATGATGTCCTCCCACCACGACAGACCCGCTCCGGTCGTCAAGTGCGCTTTCCCTCATACTATTGAGCCACTCTCGTGTTACATTCCATTCAGATATTGTAGGTTACAGTACCTTGACTTGAACCATTGCGCATGTCATTTTCATATCGTGCATTTCCCCCGGAAATCCACTAGGTGGGGAGCTCTGTAGTGCATATTCACGAACATTCTACAGTCCATGCACACGTGACATTACGCAATGATTGCATAGGCAAATTCTAGTTACTTCCCTTTTGATTACGTAGTGATTACATCACTTACACATTACCCATTTGCCACATCGAGCGTATGACGTTTTTCCATGTTCTTTCTCTCTTGCATGTCATGATGCAATACTGATTGCACCTACATGATGCAATACTGATTGCACCTACATGATGCAATACTGCTTTGTACTTACATCAGCAATTGCAATTCTCATGACCACATCCGTTTCCTTCTTGCACTTTCTACCGCAACGCACAATTGCTAACGCTTCTCTCTCTACCCTATATAAGCTGCATTCGCTTGCATATTATTCAGATCAATCGCAATCTTTTCCATTCCGACTCAACTTGAATTAGTGCTTTCTTAGTTGTAATAAAACGTTGTGTTCCACGACCCGTTGCACGGCTGAGTTGAATCTAGCGAAGCACTAAAACTCCATCACCGGCTTATAGGCATATAAGCCCCGGCTAATGCACGCGACATTACGGTATGCAAGTATTATTATTAATATTATTACTTTGTTCTGTACAGTCTGAGTGCCAGTACTCGTAGTCGTTCACGTGCCGCGGTGGTGAGCCGTGTAAAAACTGCGATATGTCGCAGTCAAAACAGCAACAACTAATGTAGTACAGTCATATGTAGTATGTACGTACTCTCGATCGACCGCACGCGCAGGAGGTGTGTCGAGGGTGCGTCAGCACAGCAAACGGCGACTGCGTGGTCGCTCGCTGTGCTGCACGCGTGCACGCTGTACTAACGGCGGCGTAACGGTACATGATTGTACGTGTACACAATGTACTGTACTAGTACATGTACACGGTGTCACTGTCACCACTGCACTGTCGGGGACCGGATCGGAGGGTGAAAGCGGGACTCAAGGTTTTTTCCCTGTGCAGTTTTCATGACGACATATCCAAACTGACTTCAAGAATCTTCAAGACGCATTCTATTACAAGTATTTTTAAAGGGGAAGTATACCCTAAAATCAAATTTTCACCAGTTGTAGTCTTCGGGGTGCTGAGTCGAATGGTCTTGATCCGAGGAAGCTGAGACGCTCCCTTCCTACTTGAATCCCAATCGAACTCGCGCACTTCCACCGAAACTGGGTGACTGCGCCCTACTAGATGGGGATTTGTATGCAAAATGTCACTAAAAGCGCCATTTCGTTCTTATAAAAGCACGGATGACCGCGATTGGCCCATATGTTGTAGTCTTTTGGACGCTGAGTCGACTGGTTTTGGTCCGAAAAGGCTGCGATGCAGCGTTCCTCCTTTATTCCCAATCGAACATGGTTGAACAAGCGGTCACGTGCTCCTGCGTACACCAGTCACCTGGTCACCGTGCCTGCAGGGTACAACTTACTAGCCTGTTTGACCTTTTTTGGGTGCAGTCCTGTCACTCGAGTTGAACCTTGGTGTGAAAGTTGTCGCCTGCTGGCGCGGTGACCAGGTGATTTGGGCAACCAGGACCACGTGACCGCTTGTTCAACCATGTTCGATTGGGAATAAAGGAGGAACTCTGCATCGCAGCCTTTTCGGACCAAAACCAGTCGACTCAGCGTCCAAAAGACTACAACATATGGGCCAATCGCGGTCATCCGTGCTTTTATAAGAACGAAATGGCGCTTTTAGTGACATTTTGCATACAAATCCCCATCTAGTAGGGCGCAGTCACCCAGTTTCGGTGGAAGTGCGCGAGTTCGATTGGGATTCAGGTAGGAAGGGAGCGTCGCAGCTTCCTCGGACCAAGACCATTCGACTCAGCACCCCGAAGACTACAACTGGTGAAAATTTGATTTTAGGGTATACTTCCCCTTTAAAGCACACCTTCCCAACCGTTGAACCTACAAAGAAACAAACACCCACCTCCACACACTACTGCTTTGTGGCCAACAACTAACTTGAACAAGGGAGCTAGCTAGCGCCTCAGACCAGAGCAAGTAAATGAACGAAAATAGGACACTCTCCCAAACACATCAGCGGCTCACGCTAGCTGTTGTCGCCGATGTGATCATTCTCTAAATCGAGCCCGATGAAGTACTAGTGATGTGTACTTGCAGAAAGCGCTGGCGGCACTTGTCAGGAGTTTCTGCAGTGTGCACATCGACAGAGTGTAACCGTAAAAGTTTCATGTACAAAAATGAGTGCAGAATCCACAACTCTGAACTAATGACTTGTAGCTAGCTGTCGTCTATCTCGCCCTTGAACAAGCGCATCCCCAAATCTCGGTAGGAGCGATATCCTGCACACGGTCCCTAATGCACTCTGGAGCTCTCCCATTATGATTATTTTTGAGAGTGCGCATAGCGTGAAAGGGGAAGTTTGCTTTCCCCGCTACCGACCGTAGCTAGCCAGTGCTAAGACTGTGACTCTTGAGTCTTGTGAGTCTGACACTACGTAGATCTACTGTCCAGTCATTTATGACGCTGGCACTTCAAAATCTCATTACCTGCACGAAGTTTGTGCAAGTGGTCGCTTCATTCTCCTGCTACTGGGTCTGTGCTAGTCTGGGTCAACAATCGCTCGAAATGCGCGTGTGTGTCTCGGCTCACAGAACACGAACTGTGACGAAGGCGAGCGAACTAAGTTACTTCGGAGCTCAAGGACGTCCAGCCTGAAATACTAAGAACGCCACAGCCTTACGGCGTTGTTGGTTTTCTGGCAGCTTGTGGGGTACATACGATCGGATTGTTTCTAAGAACGACGTCGCGTGCTCAAGAACGCAGGCAGAAATAATTTTGTAGAACGCCCCAGGCTAACCCCTTGCCTTGGAAACAACGACGTAACGTTCTTGGGCGCGCTACTTCTCTGTCTACTGTAGCCACATTCTGCAGCCAGTGTAGATCTACGAGGAAATCAGCTGTTTTGCCGCGCATGCCACACTCCACTGTCGAAAAGTGCATGTCTCCAGCTAGCTGGCTATGCATATTTTACGCGTTCTCGTGGTGATCATGACGTGACAGCTCGGAACTAGCATGCACTTGTCTTTTCCCTTTTGTCGCGGAGTCGGTCACAGAGCTCCTGCATGCCATAGATGAGTCGGCGTTTCGGCCCGGTATGCCAAAAACCTGTCGAGCCTCCAGAGCTAGAACAACAACATTTTCGTTTGAACGAATGCCAGCTGAAACGGTTTCATCTTGCCAACAATCTTCACAACAGAAAGTCTCGTACAAGACTCGATGAGAAGAAGCTCCTTGAGTACTTATCTGAACAGAGCTCGCATGTGCTTACTACCTAATATAATCTCGTAGATCTACTACAGTCTACACTCTCTCGTAGATCTACTACAATAATCAATACAGTGGCTACATTTTTGTAGTGCTACGTCTCGAGCTGAAGTGAAGTAACGTCAGCTGCTCGGTTGACAGCTACTAGTACTACTACACTAGCTAGGACCCCGATTTCACTGCTCCTGTACGCTGCTTCTGCGGCTCCACTCACGCAGTGCGAACAAAGGCCTGATGACTGGAGAGTGACGGTCAATGCTGTTTTTAGCCAGGCTTCTCACTGTGCATATCCTGTCATGTCAGTGCATTTCCCAAAAAGTTGAAAACAATGAACAAATGAATAGAATTCAAAATAATTGTGATCAGAAAACAAGCGCTCTGCCGGAGCCAAGCTGGCGATAGTGAAGATCAGAGGTAGAGAAGGAGGATACGAGCTCTGCCTGAGAAGTTAGTGATGGGATTTATTCAGATCCATCGCATCCCCTGATACTCTGCGATAGCATTGTTCCAGTGCGCCGCGTCACACCGGAGATGAGCGTCCTCGAACAACAACGAGCAGCAAATTGGCCCGTTCAAGCAGAGAAAAGAAGAGCTGTTGGTGGTCGCAGGGTGTGACGGACGACCGCTAGAACGGTAGGCGGTATTAGAATTTTGTGACAGGACTTCGATCGAGCGAGAGGATATTCATTATTGTAGCAACAAGTAACACGAAAATGCCGTGCGGCGTTGCACTGGCTCAGCAATAATGATCTACCAAGGTCATTACTTTGTATCTCAGTTAACGTGTTACTTCCTTCCCCTCGTAGTCGTAGCGGCTTCGCTGCTATCTCGTGTTCGCAGCAAGTAAGTTACATGTAGTTACTAGTTGCACTTTCAGCATGCGCCCCAGTGCGGGGCAATATTGCATTAGCCGCCGCAATCACGATAATCAATTGTTTGACATTGGCCAATGTTCTGTAGCAGCTGATCTTGTGAGATGCCATATCGTGGGTAGAAAACACGCGAGGGGTTGGCCGCGGAGAAACAATAATGAAGCCCTCGCTCATAATGTAAGAGAATAATAATATCACAATGAATAAAACTATAAGCGCACTCTTATTACAATCATAGCAACGAATAAATTGTTCCGGAACGTTTTCTTGTCACAATAATTATCAATGGAAACTCGTGACTGAAGATAATATCAAAAAATTATTCGTTGCTATCATTGTGATATGAGTGCGCCTATAGTTTTATTCATTGCATTGTTTTAAAGATTATTGTCTCCACGTCGCCTTTAAATAATAATATCCCTGGTGGTGCATTAGCCGTGGGAATTGTAGGTCAGCATTCCACATGCTGTTGAACAGTTGTGTGTGGAGAAATTGTCGGATATGGCCGGTTGTCTGTCTATAATGCTCTGAGAGTTTGCTTCCAGTGCCAATTGCAATGAAGAATGATTTGGAATGCAAAGGGAGCAGAGGAATAAAGCGACTGAGGGATAGAAACTGTTGCAGCAGTGGTGGCGAAGCCTGTGAGACATCGCGGCCGTTCTTTGTGTGTGTGTTTGTGTGTATGTGTGCACGTGTCCCTGTCTCTCCTTGTGTATGTGCATGTGCACGCATGGGCGCTCGTGTAAATAATAATAATAATAATAATACCACAGCACGCATAATAATATAATTATGTGGGTATAATTATACGTTCCGCTTCTGTCCTATCTCCTATGATCAAATTCCATTATCAAGATAATTATTAACACGGTGCACTGATGACCTGTGACGCCAGATCATGGATTGTCCGCCAGATTTCTCCATGTAGGCTTGTCCAGAGCGATGGCCCTCACATTCCCCAGCTGATTGCTGCGTTTAAAGGCGATGTTCCTCCTCTGTAAGTCGCTCGTGTAAATGGCACTCCTAAATGCTGATCATTATGCGTGTACTGGTTTCCCCCATTAGATGGCTCAGCAAAACACCAACGGTACTGCAAACGTGGTAGATGATGGCACCGGTTTGAACCGTGGTTTAACCGTGAAACGGCGCAACGAGCTCCAGGAGTTCTTCAAAGTTCAAACCGACCAGGAAGCAGGCACCGGGGCCAGTAGAGGAGGGGCACAAGCACACTCTGGCTCTACAAGCCAGGACGAAGAACTACACGACGGCTTGTGGAAGGTGATCATCAATCAACCAGAGTTTAGCGAAGCCAGAAAATATGCGGTGAGTGTGTGTTGAACGCTCAGCTTTCTCATGGAATAGTTTCAATGCAGAGGAAGCTGGTGGCTTAGGTGTGTGTGTGGGTGCGGAGGAGGGGGGGGGGGGGGGGCAATGGTCTGCATTCCTTCTCCGTGCAGTAAGTGAGTGAAGATTTGGTTTTTCTCAAGGAAACATTCGGTGCAGCGGAAGCCGGTAGCTTAGGGGTGGGTGCGGAGGGCGGGGAAGGGGGGCATTGGTCTGGACTCCTTCTCTGGTGGCGCAACATGGCTGGTTGGCAAAGAACTGGCCAAGCCAATACCTGGTACCCATGTCTGAGCACTTTTAACACCTTTTGTTTTTTCTGGCTCGCTTTTTCCTTTTCTGGCTCTTTTCCAACTCTGTCTGGTCCATATCTTGATTACCAATTCAGTCAGCCTTGCGAGCAATCACCCTCCTTCGGGCATGGTAAAGTTCCGTTCTTCGCGAGTTGTTGTTATGCACCCGGGGTTGTTATTCGTGATGAACTGTACTGGATGTATGAGCCTGGATACAATCTACGGTATGTATAATAGGTCCTCTCTTCTTCTGTGCATGTGTGTGCATGTGTGTGTGTGTGTGTGTGTGTGTGCGCGCGTGCGTGCGTGCACGCGTGCGTGTGTGCACGTGTGCTTCTGTTGCAGACGAATGTAATATCCACCGCCAAATACTCCGTGTTCACGTTTCTGCCCAAGAACGTATTCGAGCAGTTCCTACGCGTTGCCAACTTCTACTTTCTCGTTCTGCTTATACTTCAGGTAAGATACCTATGTGAATTGTGTGTTACTTTGTCATTGCTCTTATGCATAGCATAACCGGTTGCCTTATATAGTGCTTTGTGGACTTTCTTTTGAAAAGTCGTTGTTGGAGCACCGATTTCCACTCTTCCCAGCATCTGGATTCACATCCTGTGATTGTACTGTCTCATTCATATTCACTATTAGTACTTGGTGAATGTAACCACACGCGGTGCAATGTCCTTGCCAGGAACCCCTCACGTTTTGATTTATGCATGTGTGTGTGTGTGTATGTGTGTGTATGTGTGTGCCCACATGTGTGTGTGTGTGTACGTGTGTGTGTGTGTGTACGTGTGTGTGTGTGTGTACGTGTGTGTGTGTGTGTGTGTGTGTGTGTGTGTGTGTGTTTGTACACATGAATATGCTGGGGCGTGGTCTTGTGTTTGTTGGCGTGTTAGTTGATACCGCAAATCACCAGTCTTTCTCCGGTCACCACAGCCCTGCCGTTGTTCTTAGTACTGAGTATATCGGGTATCAAGGACGGCTACGACGACTTTGTAAGTGGATTGGAATGCTTATTGCAAGATCAGAGGTTTTTTTTAGTTAAAAAAATGTTTTTTAAAAATGTTTGTGTTTTTTCACGAGCGACATATTTTAAAAATCCCTACGATCAGACAGAGAAAAGTAAGGCTCGGGTTTTCGTGCCACTTTGTTCGGTTTGAAACCCCATGCAGTGCAATGGCCGGCTCTTATGCTGCTGAGTGCTCCAGTTGAAATTGCTAGCTCATTTTCTGCCGCTATTGTGAATACGATAGTTGATCTGATCTGAGTTGATCTGAGAAGGTGTGACGTGATGGTGTAAAATCTCTTGGGTTGGCACCTGGTCTGGTTCAGTCGAGGCTATTCATGTTCTATGTGTCACATGATTAGTCACGTGATAGATTGTACAGTCACTACAGTGTGGTCACATGACCTGTTGCGCTGATCACAGACGTGCCAGCTGCACCCACGTCTAAGAAATCTCTCTCTCTCCCCACCCGAGTGCTATTTACCATGATGTGACCAAGGATGATGTGCAGCCAATAGAGCGCTGAAAATGTAGGTCATTAATTAAAGAAAACACCTTCCAGTTTCCGCATCACACGCACATGAGTGCCGTGGGGTGCCTATCAGTTGGCATCTAGATTAGCTGGGTGTGATCTGTGTCAGTGTTGAACCTTTCACACACCATCCCATCATATATCATATTTGCAGCATTCACTCTGCTGCAATCACCACTCAGCATTGCTCTAGCTTAGTGAGCTTGATAGTAGTCAGGATAATGTCCGCTCCTGTTTCGGGGGCGAAGGCCCGAGATAAACTGATCGTTTAGTTCCGGTCATGTATACGTTGCCTTACCCACAGTGTCATCGGCGATTAGCTTTGCCGGAAACCTTTCTATAACAGTAACGGACACATGAGCGTGTGTCCCTGTACCAACGAGTATTGAATCCACGGACACCATTTTTACTGAGTTCCTGAATCATCGTGGAGCTTTCTAGTTTCCTCGGAGACGAAAAAAAGAGTTTCTAGTTTCCTCGGAGACGAAAAAACTATAACACTGATTCACTATAACATTGACTTAGTGGGAGCACAGCTTTCTAGCAGGAGAATTTAGTCATTATAACTATTAAAATGGACCAGGTGTTTGTTCAATTTTTATCTCAATGTCGTATTTCCCCCTGCTCGCAGCAACGGCACAGAAGTGACAGGAATGTCAACAACCGACTGACCACCGTCGTCACAGCAGAGGGGTATGTTGTATTGTTTGTTTGTTTTTGTGCGGAACTATCGGCCATATTGTTGTCCTGGGTAGCTATGCATGCACAGTTACACATGCATATTTCCTACACTATCCAGTTCCTACTCCCGCCGATCCTCTCATGTTCTCTTCCTTTCTACCCTTTCATTCATCTATCCATCACCTTTGCCACCTTGTGCATTTCGTACTTACTTCTTCAAGTAATATCATTCCTGGCAGGTTCGCCTTATGCTTTTGAATCATTAACCTTAGAATGTGAGCCACAGTTTCTATTAACTGTTTACCCAGGCAGAATGGTTCCATTGCCTTAGGAATCTTAGTTAGGATATGTTGTCATGTAGTTTGCAACCCTCTCCATTCTGTCTATGCGCGTATCGTGCCAGGAATCAAGAGGTTCCGTGGAAAACCGTCCGAGTCGGCTCCATTCTGCTGCTGAAAAACAATGACTTTGTGGCAGTAAGTTTGCACAGTCATGCCCACACACTACCATAGGTACAGCTCTCACGTGTGCATAGTCAGCAGAGTCCATTCACAACACCTATTGATGTCTGCATGTTATGTGACTCCTCCAACCGATGAGTGTTTACAGAAGCTAGGTTAAAATCACCACCCGGGGAACCCCCTTTCAGCCCACTACCTCTTCAACCATTATGCTGTTCAAGGTGGTGCAGGTACATGTGCATGTGTACTCCCTTCAACCAGTATTAGCCACTTGTCGGTGTTCACGTATGTGCTGATTGCCATACATGTTGCCAGGATTGCGTAGTGACCTGGGAACTACAGTGAAACCTGTCGAAGACGACCGCTCAACTCAAGGGACCTTCAAAATGTGGTCTCTGTTACCAGGTGGTCTCCTTATCCCAGGGTCATTTGACTGGAAATAGCATCCTTTGGTCCTGGTTCCAGTGGTCTTCTGGGACAGGTGGTCGCCCTTATCCGAGTGGCCGCCTTGACAGGTTTTACTGTAAACTGGAATGGGAATACATCTCACCACCACTGCCATGATTCAGGTTGTGCGTGCCTCCCCTAGCTGCATCTCATGTTTGCCAGTTTTAAGTGGTCTTTGTAAAAATAAATAAATAAAAACAACCGAAAAAACATGATCATGTTGGCTAGTGTACAAACACATGATGGGCTGGGTGTGTATGTGTGTGTGTGCACGTGCATGCGTGTGTGTGTGTGTGGGGGGGGGGGGGGTAGGCGGTAGGGGGTAGGTGTGTGTGTGCACATGTGTACTTTTGCACCTGCCTTTCTGTCTGTTTGTTGGTGTTGGTGTGTCCGCACATGTGTACACATGACATGGTATTGTTGTTTCTTCTTTTCTCTAGGCTGACCTACTGGTGTTGAGATCAAGTGAACCCAATGGTCTATGCTTTGTTGAAACAGCAGAACTGGATGGGTAAGGACACATTGCTAGGCGACTGACTGGCGGGTGAACACTTCCTCTCCTCCAGTCGATTGTGATCCGGCAGCACTCTGCACACAAGTATTTTTCAGATGCGGCATTTCCAGCCCAGAATATCTCGCTCCACGATAGACAATAGAGGTGGATCAGAAGAAAATGATAAATTGAAAACGAAAACGACTACAGCACTGTCGAGCGCCGAAGAACGACCAGGCTAGAATGTCACCAAGCACAGCATAATTATACCAATGTATACACGGTCACAGTTGGCATCTGACAGAGATGCCTGGCAATCACACTGTGCATCTACTGCTCACACGGCTGCATAATGCCGTTTATTATTATTATTTTAAAAAATTTACCATTATTATTTTTCTCGGCAACGCAGATGATGATGATGATGATGATGATGATGATGATGATGATGATGATGATGATGATGATGATGATGATGGTACACGGTGCCTCAACTGTGCATCGATTGTAATACATTAACATGAAAACGGTCTAGGCTAGGAGGCTGACCCTCCAGTTCTTCGGCGACCGACTGTACTGTAGTTCCGAATGTATTTGGAACATTGCGGAAGTACAAGTACTTTATCGTGGCTGCGGCATTATCATTGCTTACCAGGTATGCATTCTTGGACTGTACTGTTGTATTCCATTTTCTTTGCTTTGTTACGGCCAGTATAATTATGCGCTGGATGATCCTGGACTCACGGCACTGTTTTGAGTACACACCGCTGCGCAATCAAGGCAAAAGGGGGTTGTGGATCTGTCCACTGAATGATGAGATCCGTTAGTGATAATTATGGTGCAGGTGGGCGGAAATTCTTCCTATCAGCCTGGCCTCATGTATGCACTATTGTTCACGTGTGTGTGTGTGTGTGTGTGTGTGTGTGTGTGTGTGTGTGTGTGTGTGTGTCTGTGTGTGCGTGTGTCTGTGTGTGCGTGTGTGTGTGTGTGTGTGTGTGTGTGCGTGTGTGTACATGTCTGTCTGTACATGTGTGCATTTATGTATGTCGCAGGGAGACCAATCTCAAAGTGCGACAGTCGGTGGATGGTGTTCCCGCCACAGAAGATCTTACTGCCTTCAATGGTAAGTCACTCAGTTGGCCTGGTGACTAAGCCCATTGTGCATTGCCAAATATGGATTGCATAAGTATTATTATGTGAGTATACTGGGATCAGGGATGCACAGTTCAACACCCCAGACGACCATGCCCAGGTGGCTGTGTGGGGTGTTCGCGGTACAAATTCTGTCATTGCACAATGGACTTATCCATCTAACCCTCTCACGTCCCCTTTTGCTAACATGCTGTCGACCATTCTTGCTTGTTTTGTCTTGGGGCAGGGTGGTTTAAACGTGTGCCCCCGTGTCCAAAATGTGCATGCAGTGACACACAGTATGTATGGTAGGAATAAAACTGGCTGGGGTTTGCTATCCCGGGGGCAGAACGTGTTGCCAGTCTGTTGGGCGCACATCGTGTGTCATGGCTGCTGGTGCTATCTTCACCACCACCTTCATCCTTGTCCTTAGCATGGATGTCCCCCCCCCCCTGCTAGCACACACTATGGTTTCAGTGCAATTTCTTACGTAGGCACTGACAGGTGGAATGCACTGCCACCTGCTTTCCGCCTGTCTAATTCACCTGCTGCATTTCAATTATCCATCAAGACTTTCTTAGGGTTCCCTATAAAAGGCGATGATGCCTGTTGGGAATTCCCTAGTAAAATAAGAATTTAAAAAAATGTTATCCTTGTGTTATGGTTTCAGGTGTAGTTCGCTGCGAACGTCCTAACAACGTACTAGATAAGTTTGAGGGTGCGCTAGTCTGTCATGACAAGACGCTCTCACTTGATAACTCCAACATGCTGCTGCGGGTAGGTGTGAACCGTTCAACGGCTTGTAGCAATACACACCGTAATGTGTTGCATGCTCGCCATACAAAACATTTTCCATAATTTCATGATCGTTCATGATCGTGTGTTGTTTAAGCCATTCAATCTGGATGTACTGTAGTATTGCTTGTAGTATTTCGGCCTTGTGGAATTCTTCTCCCGGATGACCTGCGTTCTATTATCGAAAATCTTGGATGACCCATCAATACTCCCTTGTGATCTCTCTTCTGATTGCAGTCCTTATGTATGTGCATTTGAACGGTTCTACCTGTCCTGTCATTGTCTTTGTCGTTGTGTTTTGTCACAGGGCTGCAAACTACGGAACACCAAGTGGATGTATGGTGTGGTCGTCTTTGCTGGACATCAGACCAAGCTCATGCAAAACTCAGGTATGAATGTGTACGTGTGTGTGCGTGTGTGTGTGTGTGCGTGCCTGCGTGCGCGCGTGCGTGTGTGTGGGTGTGTCCATGTGCATGTGCGTGTATGTACATGTTTGTATGTTATTTTGGGGGGGGGGGGATCTCTCATCATCTCTGCCACAGATCCTGCAAAGGCTGTTGTTGGCACACTGAAAGTCAGGATTTCCATTAATGTAAGTCCTTGTCACCAGATCACTATGATTGCATATCTATGTGTACTCTGTTGCTGTACAGGTAAGGCACATCACAAGAGAACCAAACTGGATCGGCTTATGAACTCTCTCATTCTATGGGTAAGTTGTAGCCACTAATGGGCATAAATGAGTTTTTAAACAAGATTTTACGGAATTCTGATTTCAGTTTTTGTCCGGGATAATGTGAAATATTACATGCATGGAAATACCCCGCTGTACAGTGGGGGTAGGTCCACTGCAAGTGTTCATCCGGTTATAGCGGTGTGTGGTCCACTGCAAGTGTTCATCCGGTTATAGCGGTGTTTGGTGTCTGACTTCAGGACTGTATGTATGTCTGTGCTGGTCTCTGTGCTCCGTGCTTCCGCAGATATTTGGATTTCTTCTCTTTCTGAGCATTGCTGGAGCAGTCGGCAGCAGCATCTGGGAGAATATAGTCGGCGAGGTAAGAACACTCGCAATAGGGATGAGGCATCCAGCGGTTTCATAATTCCAGGAGCGGTTTTGAACACACGTGGCTCTTTCCCTCAGCCCTGCAAACTTGCAACTCGGTATACTGTGTCAGTTTCCACGACATTTCCCGTCATGAGGTTGCATAATCGAAACAGTGCACCGAGTTGTGAGTTTGTAGTGCTGAGGGGAAAATCATTTGTGCTCAAAAACTCTCATGGAAGATAAGGAAAGCTTCTTTTCTCTATTTTCAGAAGTACATGTACATTTTTTGTGAGGTGGGTGAAGTTCTGAACTTTATCGATTTTGAGATTATGTATTTACAATGCATGTGCTGCCTGTACTGTACTGCGTGGATGTAGTGTTAGTCTTGTGTTGTGAGGCAGATGTGAAATACAGGTGTGACTGGTTTCCCTGTATGATGTTCTATTGTCTGTGTATTGTGCGTTGTGCCCCGAATCAGGATTTCCTGGACTATATTCCGTATTCCGACGAGGGTGTGGCGAGTGCGCACAGCGTGGCAGCACTGCAGTTCTTCTCCTACCTGATCGTACTCAACGCACTCGTGCCCATCTCTCTCTATGTCAGGTATGGATGTGAGCGTGTGCGGGTGTGACTGGGTGCAAGCTGTTGAATGGTGTAATCCCAGCACAAGTTGCTATGTCTAACATAGCTGTTCGCTATCATCGCTTCTGCGATGGGCATGTCTGAGGTGAGGGTGGGTGGGGTGGAGGTGAGCATGTGAGTGTAGATACACTTCAAAGTATGCTCCATCAGGGAATGTGTTTTGCGCATGCGTGTTTGTAGAAAACCAGTGTTCCAGAACAAGCGGGCTTTATGAACAGATTCAAAAGCGCGTTGACACATTGTTGGTGCCAGAGAGGCATGGTAGAGGCATGGTAGAGAGGCATGGTAGAGGCATGGTAGAGGCATGGTAGAGGCATGGTAGAGGCATGGTAGAGGCATGGTAGAGAGGCATGGTAGAGGCATGGTAGAGGCATGGTAGAGGCATGGTAGAGGCATGGTAGAGGCATGGTAGAGAGGCATGGTAGAGGCATGGTAGAGGCATGGTAGAGGCATGGTAGAGGCATGGTAGAGAGGCATGGTAGAGAGGCATGGTAGAGAGGCATGGTAGAGGCATGGTAGAGGCATGGTAGAGGCATGGTAGAGGCATGGTAGAGGCATGGTAGAGGCATGGTAAGTGGATACGTGGATACTGTAAGGCCACAAATTTTCGGCCCGTTCAAATCTCCGCCTCCCGGGGCTAAAACACATTTCGGCAGCATCAAATTTCCGGCCTGTACTGCTGCCGCCTGTATACACTGTCACACTGAACCTTGCAAAACAAAATTTCGGCCGCACCGAATTTTCGGCCAAACATGACCGGGCCGAAAATAGACGAAAGTAAATATGCGCTGAATATTTGTTGACTTACAGTAGGTGGCCGTTTATGATAGCTCATGGTGTGCTTTTCCGTCTGTCTATTTGCCCTTCTGACGTTCACCATGTGCCTGTGTGCCAGCCCACCCACACTTGTTCTGCATGCATGTGTGCCTGATCATCGATCCGCTCTTCCGTCTGCCTATTTCCGTGTGTGTGTGTATGTGCATGTGCTCGTATGGCGTAGTGTCGAGTTCATACGCATGGGACAGAGTTTGCTGATCAACTGGGACCGTAAGATGTACTATGACGTCACAGACACACCAGCCAAGGCCAGGTGAGATCACAATGTCAATCATTGCTGCACAGTCATGTTATTTATTATTATTATTTTTTACAAAGGCCACTTAAATGGACGTACCCTTTCTACATCACTACTGCACAGTCATGTACATACCCTTTCTAGATCCCTACTGCACCCTTATTAGGTGAGTTCCTCGAGACAAATGTTGTGAAGTGATAGTACAGTCCTGCTCAATGAACTCCAGTCGCGTCACTTAAGTTTGCGCCGTGCACCTTTTCGCAGCCCAGTGTTCGGAGGCCTAGGGCTGCGCAGCGCCCGGCGCGTACTTGAGGGACGCGACTGGATTTCATTGAGCAACACTGTAGCTTCTCTACATGTACTGCATAAGTGGAGACCATGCCATGGTTTGATAGGTAACCCTAGTGGTTCAAGGTTGCACTTAGCTTTTCTTCAGAGTTTGTCTTGCAGGGTGTCAGCTGTGCATGCAGCACTCATGTGACCTGTTCTCCTGTCATGCATTTCCAACCGTTTAAACTTTGTTCAGGACCACCACGCTGAACGAGGAGCTGGGACAGATTGAGTACATCTTCTCCGACAAGACCGGAACTCTGACGCAGAATCAAATGCGCTTCCTCCAGTGTAGTATTGCTGGACGCTTATACGGTGAGAAACTGGGGATCGGACCTGGAGGGAAGGAGACGGGGGTGGGGAGTAGTGGACACGTTAACCCAAGTAGCTATGGTAACACCATCACATATGGACACTGGCTATTGCTAGAGATGCTAGTGGAGTGCTGTTCTCCAAGAGAAAATCAGGCATGTAACAGGCGTGCAAAAATAGCGTGCGCACTTTCAGCTGGCGGTGATAGACAGTAGTTCAGTTTGGTTTCTCAGCCTATCACCAAGAGTAGATAAACAAAAGTGTGCAACTCGCGGATGGGTTCGCCCATGGCGGAATTTTCTGTTGACATAATCTGTTCTACGACGCACGCGCTGCGGGTCTTTTCGAAAGCTTTGCCTCGAGTACTTGCCTGGGCTTTACATTACAAGGTCGGTGCCCAGCATGTGCCCTCACACGGCTCTGCGGCAAAAAGCGCGTTTTTTTCTGAAAAAAAAAGGTGACGTCAACAAAACGTTCCGCCGTGGGCCGGGGTATCCGCAGATGGTGCAGAAGAGATCCGGAGTTGCACACTCTTGTTTATCTACTCTTGCTTTCACTGATCACGCTTGTTGGAACATAGAATTGCATTACACGTATAGTCATTAGGGGTGAAAGGATTATGTAGTTTAGTCGATAAATTAGTCGAAAAAATCTAGTCGATTACGATTTTTCTAATCGCTACAGCATTTTCGTACAACATACTTTACGGTACGACGAAATATCCGGCATGTGCAGTGTGTCTACATGACTTTACTGCGTGCAGCACATGTACCAGAGTACGAGTGGATGCGCGCGTGCAGCGCTCACAGCGGGTTGCTCATGCTCTGGATACACACTACACGCGTAGACTCTACCCGGTAGATCTACCTGATGTACTCTCTAGATCTATTGTATGACACGCGGCTCTTTTCTCTGCACCGTGCACTGATTCGTACCCGCGAACTTTCGTTCCGGTTGCTTCACGGAACTCACTATTCTGGACAAGTAGCCTTCAGAATCAGCTTGTGCCTGTGCGACGGTCGATGTTTCCTTTATTTTTGTTCTCTTCGAAGTTCCAAAATTGATTGTAGTTGATGCAAAATGGTGAGTTTTTTCGTCAGTGGTGCTTAATCGATAATAACCGATAAGTAATCGATACGTTTTGGATTAACCGTTAAGGAATATCCCTTAATCGTTTCACCCCTAATAGTCATAGGTCTCAGATTTGATCATCCATGAACTCCTTTGTTGCTGTTATGGGAAATTCTGGTAAAGTGCCAGAACTTCAATGACATCGTAAACATGGTGATGTATTGATGCTGTGACAATGCCATCATCGCGCCATATGAGTTTTGATTGCGTGTATGGAAAATATTATAGAAATCAAAATAATAATGACATCATCATGTAGTGGCGATGACATCATTGTCATGTGGACTGATGTATTGCTCTTCTTCCAGGTCGGCCTTTGGACAGCAGTCAGCAGGTATGTGTTAGGTATACTGTAATTTCACTAATTTTTGTTGCACTTTTACTTTCTGTGCTTTCGGTGCCTCTCTTTCCTGCCTAAAATGTCAGCCCGGGCCCATCTTTTTATGAACGGACTGTATAATATACACACATGTACTCCGAAGTAAGCGAAGTCGGTTTAGTGTTTCCAAGAACGTCCGCATTGGATTCAATTCGTAGCTTCAGGGCATAGCTTAAGGATTTCATTTAGCTCGGACAAATGTCCTTATGTTTTGAAATATGTCCAGACATGCCCAGACATTTTCCACAACACATTTTTAGGGTGTTTCTTTTTTTTTAGTAGTACAGTGAAAGAGTGAAAAATAAAAGATGACATCTTCCTCTCAAGAGCGAACAACTGCACTAGCAGTCCAACCCATCGATTCAAGTGCGAAGTCGACACCAACGGTCGAAAGTGTGAATTGACTGTAGCAACAACGCGTCGCTACAGGCGGATCAAGTATTATAGCGAAGTCTACGCCTGAGACTACGGTGTACGTGTTAGTTGTACGATATGCAAGTCGCATTTGGCACGAAGCTCCGAAGAAAGCCCAACTCTGCATCAAAGGTCGAAAGGTCGCTGCTCTTTTTTTACTTTTTGACCGGACACTATATGTCCGGTGAAATTGAAAACGTCCAGTCAGTGGCCGAAAATGTCCGATGTCCGGCCGTTAATCTATGCCCTGAGCTTTGATGAGGTGGCCTCGAAAACGTTAGGGGACAATAACGGTAATATGACATAATTATAGTGAAAGAAGAATGGGGAGCACACATGCTCATTCCCTGGACACTGCAAATTCACAACTCATTTTCACTGTATCATTTCAACGTGTTGGCAAATTGCCATCACCAGGATACAATGTGGAGTGGAAATCTGCCGAGAAGCAGTGTGACATGTAGTGTTTGCTTATGGTGTTTGTACTGAGTGCGCAAACTCACTCTATTCACTGTGTTAATAACGTAATATCAATCCTCGCTTTTTCGAATTATTGTCTCCATGCCGATTGCCGATTGCTTGCTGTGTAGACGTCAGTGAAAGAGTTGGGTGAAGTGGAGAGGTGCAGGTTAACACCATGTCGCATGGAGCCCACCATCACAGAGCTGCGTGACGAGCGAAGCAGCAGCGAGCGATCCTGCCAGCAGTCTGCCGGTGAGCCCATTGTCACAGGCACACACACACGTTCTCATAGACCCCCTGCAGCATTCTCACCCTCAAACACAATCATCCATCAATGTGAGAATTGGGTGATATTCCAAATAGCGTCACGGTGCAACTGGACTTAGGAGAGCATTGCACACCAGTTGCATACGAATCATACTACACTGTGTACATGGTAGGCCCTGAGCTCTGCAGGAGAACACATCACAGGTACCCGTACAACTTTGAACTTTGTCAGCAACTACTCTTCAATGCCCTCCCGAGGCTAGTCGGATGTTATTTGGTATTCTGTTGAATGAGCAATTTCCTTGGGTCTCCATCTGGATTCATACTCATAGTTGTGTCGCCAACACTTTTTGTCTTACATGCCGGATATGTCAGGGGCGTTGGAACCGGTGCGGCAGGTGCGGCCAAAGCCACACCAATAATATCATCTTGTGACATTTTGAAGCAATGGATTATGGGCCATTCGGACGCAATTTCCCAAAGATTTTTCCCGGGGAGGACTCCCGGATGCTCCACCTATTCATAGCTGCACCAATGTCGAATGCCTTCCGACGTCCCTGTATGTATATGGCGAAATGAACACAGTACTCTTTAGTTCATATTGAGCACAAGCTGTCTATACGCCACTGTGATGACTGTTGGGTAAATTTTGAGGATCGTCTTTTCCTGGTCAAGTCCTAGCCGCTAGAACTTGACCAGGAAAAGATGATACGAGAGCGGCTCTCTGTGCATATTTATCCTCTCTGTGATCTTCCTATTGTGCACCTTTGCAGTCCCTACTTTCTGTCTGGCTGAAATTTTCCGTTCTTGTTCTGCACAGACTCCGGCATTGCCACGAACAGCAGCTCTGCCAATCAAAGCACAATACTCCCCGGTCAGATTCCGGATGAGGTGTTCGACGCCTCCCGGGTGGAGGAAAGCAGATTTGCACGAGAGCCCCTGCCTGACCTGATCACGTCGGATGTTGTGCGGTCACCTCGCAATGCGCCCGACCTGCCCCTCTCCATCACAGCAAGATCATCGCTAGAACACGTCAATGGCCCTGCAGACAAGACATCCTCATCACCTGTACCGCAATGGCAGCACAAATCAGATCTGCAGCGTTCATCGCCGTCATTAGCACACCCCTCGCCCAGGAAGCAAGCTTGGTCAACGATGCACAAGGATGAAGAGCAGGATGATGCACCGATGGTGAGTCGGTTGTAGAACTGGCGGTTTCTGAGCCAGCCCGGCCAACCCAGCCAGCCCGCTTCAAGCTGGAGCAATATTCTGGTAGATCTTTTTGCTCCTCAATAACCCACATATTGACAATTTCCAGCAGGAAATCTCCCAGAACCCACTCATGTGCTCTTCAAGTGAAGTCGGACCAATAGAAAATAGCTTCCGAAGCCCCAGTCTGAAGTGTTGCGCACGTGCGCACACACCGCTTCTTGTCCCCGGGTAAAGCGGCAAGACCTTCATTTGCGATTGGCTTGAATTCGATAGTTTGAAATTGCTGTCGTACACTCAACTGCGATTGTTATGCATGTACAGTCGAATGTCACTTATCCGACCACTTCGGGAATCAGGCATGTTGGATAACTGGATATGTTGGATAACTGATATCATTTTTTATGTGCATATATGGCTGGATTTCACTGATTTATGTACACAATACCCAAATATATTCATGCATATTCATGAATTGCTCCATGTACACATACATGTACATGTTAGCATACTTGACCACATCTACTTCAAGTAAATGCATATTACACCGTGTAATATACAACAAACAAAAACAAAACATTTTTTTTTAGAATTTTACTGTTGAGAGTCATAAAATTACCACTCCCGGGCTTGTCGGATAACCGACGTGCTCGGATAACTGGCGACCGGATAAGTGACATTCGACTGTACTTCAAAGTATGTGTGAATGTAAGCCGTAATAGTACCATGATGCCGACACTGTCCTTTGTATGTACCGGTGTGTGTGTGTAGGATTCAACCAGTGAGTACCTGGACTTCACCACGCTGGCAACGTACGGTGAATCGTCATTTCAGTTCACCGACATGTCGCTTGTGCGAGACGTGCGCAACGAGTCTTCGGTGAGTGCGGTGTGGTTGTTGTTTCCGATACAGTGTTACACTTGCATGCTGTGTGAGGCTCACTCATCTTGTCATACAGTTCACGGCCATGCAAATCGAAGTCATAATTTTACAACCGATGGTCATACTAATCACAGTCATACCACTTGGGGACATATGCAGACTGGTATAATCACGGCGTGCCGGGAACCAATTCCACATGCCGAGTTTTCCTACTGTGCACTCTTACTGTTCTTGTCCACATGTAGACAAGAGGAAGACTGCTGCGTCTCGGTGCAGCGCCTGCTCATTAGTTGTCACGTTTGTCCTAGTCTCCGTACCGTTGTCTTTCATTATTCTTTTCGAGCTGGGTATGTGAACATAGTAAAAAAATGAAGGAGAAAAAAGAGAAGAAAAAAGAGTTGAAGACAGTTTGGGGAATGTCATTACAACAAACAACACTGGGTAGTTCTACAGCAATCCAGGGTACACTGCGCTTTCAAACTGTTTTTTTTCTGTAATATAATTGTTATACTCAGCTGACTTGTTTCCCCCCTGTGTGCACAGGCTGCGTTTGAGTTCTTCCACGCCTTTGCCCTGTGTCACACGGTCATGGCTGAGCAGGACACAGGGGAAGAGCTAATCTACCAGGCACAGTCACCGGACGAAGCCGCTCTCGTGTCGGCGGCGAGAAACTTCGGCATTGCCTTTGTGGTGAGTACCAGTACTGCTGCTTGTTACTCGCCATCTTTACAGAGCATGTTAGGGCGTCACATTTCAGGGCCGCCGGAACCGGTCCGGTTGGTCAGGTTATCACCGGACCAACATTGTAGCCATCCACACATGTTTGCTACTATGGAGGTCATGTGACATGTATACCCGCCATATCATACACAAACTGTATGAAAGGCACTGAAACTACCGGACCTATCAAAAACTGCTTTCGGCGGTCCTGCATTCTCTGCTGCATGCCAGTTGGTGAAAACTCGACCTGGTGGGAATTTCTGGCCAACATTGGGCACATGTACGTCCGTCATTGTAAGATGTCTGCTGCGATCTAGGTTCTATTTTATGCTGAAACGAGCGTGTGAGGTTGGGCGAGACCTGACTGGCCAACGATTCAAACTTGCCATTTGTGTGACGCAGCAGCAAATTAGGTAGTGGCGTGTGAATCAGCTGCAGCGATCTGGAGAGGATGTATCAGAGTGTGGATTGACTGCAGAGGCCAGGTGTGGATGTATGGGCAACTCCGGCAGTGTCTCGATTTTATCGCAACCTCTGTCTGACGGAACGCACAAGTCGAGACATGTGTACATGTACGTGTGTGTGTATGTGTGTGGCTGCGTGCGTGTTTGTGTTGTCTTGCAGGCAAGAACTCCTAACAGTGTTACGCTCAATGTGCATGGGCAAGTGGTAAGTGCACTAGTATTTATAAACTTCACGTATGTGTTTTTTGTGTGTGTGTGGTACAAGAAGCGGCCCACAGTGTTTGACAGTAAACGAGACAGCAAAATACTTGTACAGCTTGAGGACTTGACCGTACTTGCCAGAATTTTGTTGCAAACCGTACTGCGTGTCTGTTGTTTTTTTGTGCACACTGTGTGTTTGTACAGCGCAAGTATGACTTGCTATGCATCCTGGACTTCGACAATGTTCGCAAGAGAATGTCGGTAGGTAGATGCTCGAGACCTGTTTGCACATCTACATCTATCACATGACCATGCTTGTGTGTGTGTGTGGGGGGGGGGGGGGTCAATCCAATCCTTGCATCCATAGGTCACACATCATGTGATATTTCGACAACAGCCTCTTGTATGGGCATCTACACGAAGGTTAAAGGGGAAGTATACCCTAAAATCAAATTTTCACCAGTTGTAGTCTTCGGGGTGCTGAGTCGAATGGTCTTGGTCCGAGGAAGCTGAGACGCTCCCTTCCTCCTTTATTCCCAATCGAACTCGCGTACTTCCACCGAAACTGGGTGACTGCGCCCTACTAGATGGGGATTTGTATGCAAAATCTCACTGAAAGCGCCATTTCGTTCTTATAAAAGCACGGATGACCGCGATTGGCCCATATGTTGTAGTCTTTTGGACGCTGAGTCGACTGGTTTTGGTCCGAAAAGGCTGCGATGCAGCGTTCCTCCTTTATTCCCAATCGAACATGGTTGAACAAGCGGTCACGTGCTCCTGCGTACACCAGTCACCTGGTCACCGTGCCTGCAGGGTACAACTTACTAGCCTGTTTGACCTTTTTTGGGTGCAGTCCTGTCACTCGAGTTGAACCTTGGTGTGAAAGTTGTCGCCTGCTGGCGTGGTGACCAGGTGATTTGGGCACCCAGGAGCACGTGACCGCTTCTTCAACTATGTTCGATTGGGAATAAAGGAGGAACGCTGCATCGCAGCCTTTTCGGACCAAAACCAGTCGACTCAGCGTCCAAAAGACTACAACATATGGGCCAATCGCGGTCATCCATGCTTTTATAAGAACGAAATGGCGCTTTCAGTGAGATTTTGCATACAAATCCCCATCTAGTAGGGCGCAGTCACCCAGTTTCGGTGGAAGTACGCGAGTTCGATTGGGAATAAAGGAGGAAGGGAGCGTCTCAGCTTCCTCGGACCAAGACCATTCGACTCAGCACCCAGAAGACTACAACTGGTGAAAATTTGATTTTAGGGTATACTTCCCCTTTAACGTGGGAGCGGCAAAGACTGTAATCCCAAATGACTATGCTCATATGCCATCATCGTAATGTCAGCCACGGTTTCACTGTCCACACACATTAAATGCGTTCACAACAAGATTAAAAATCCTTCTTTCTTCAAGTAAACATCTCATCTGCCCTCTCTTTTATTTCTTATTATGATCCCTAGAAGGGAAATGGACCACACCTGGAAGAACTGCAATACCAGGGTGATCCGTGGAGAGGGTGAAGCAAGCTTCGAGCCACTCTCCAACGAGCAAAAATACATTTGATCGAATGTTGACATATAGTCAACATATCAGCGATCAAACTGATAAGAACAGATACTACACTTGATCTTAGCCAAAAGGCCGAGAAGCGATAACTTTCACCTCCCACGCTCTTTTCCTTTCTACAAATTCAAAATACAGTGTCCCTACTACCTCTTCCACACAAACACACAACATACTAACCCAGAACACACACAGAAACAACCAGAATACATCCACGCGCACCGATTTGAAAGCTTCAGGTAATTCATCCACCAGCATAGCGTAGATTGGTTGCCAAGGTGATAAAGATGGCCGTGGGCACTAATTGTCATGGTAATGCAGTAAATAATCCCAAATGTACCCATGAAGGGTTCTCTTCACTAACATCAATGTACATGTACAGGTTGTTATGCTAAGTTGTAGGGTTGTCATGGCTACGACAAGCCGGCCCTTGCCACACTTCCTTGACGTTCTACCGTATTTCCCCGAATATAAGTCACACTATTTTCCGCTAAACTTCTCGGGCGAAGAAGGGGATGCGACTTACGATCGAGTTTAAGATCCTACTTATGTGAATATATTGAAACGATATGGCTCAAACCAAAAACTGGTGTGCCATTTGTAGGGGAAATACGGTATATGAGTGGGCGAATGGTGGGCCTACATCATACAGCTGTGGTATAAGTAACTACAATCATGCTCCTTTCCAAGCAGCGTTGTCAACCTGTTGGTCTGTTGTTACCAGGTCATTGTCCGTTGCCCGGACAACCAGCTCATGCTGTACTGCAAGGGTGCCGACTCGGTGATATACGAGCGATGTCGCTACGCGCAGCAGTTGCTTGCTGACACCTCTCAACAGCTGGAGGTGAGCTTCTGTGTGCTTCTTCTCGGACCACGTAGAAATCAAAACTGAGGACAACACACAGCGTATTCATTCAGACGGGTTTCAACTATGGAGCTGTGTAGTGTGTTCAGCTTTGTCATAGTTCTTCTTTGCGGGCAATGTCCTATAGAGCTGTGTTTTGTGTTCACTGTGTCGTAGTCCTTTGCAGGCGAGGGCCTAAGAACGCTCTGTGCTGCCAGGAAAACTCTGAACGAGGACGAGTTCAGTGCGTGGAGAACTCGACACCATGAAGCAAAGTAAGTTGCTTGATCCGGGGGGAAATCCCCTAGGCGTGCACCCAACTAGGTATCTCCCCATCTCACAATCTCACATGAAATCCAGCCTCGTGATGCTCAGTGTACAGCCTTTACAAGCTATGCATCTGCTGATTCAGGCCCAGAGATTGGATTTCAACTCAGTACCACTGCAATTCTGTTTGCTCTTGGTATGCTAAAACCGGAGTGGAGTGTATGTTGCTCTGCCCTCCGGTCAGCCTGTTTCACTAATCACCGGGACTGTGTGGGATTATACCTGCTGTGAACTCTACTCGTTTGAACACGCATTCCTCTCATTTGTGGCCATCTTTTTTCTTCTTGTCACCCGTCTCCAGCATATCGTTAGTGGACCGGCGTAAAAAGCTTGATCAGGTACGTTCGGTGATGTAGATTGTTCTGAATCCCTCGGTTCCCTGACATCCGCCACCTGTTTGGTCTTGACTTCTAGACCATTGCAATGTACGGTAGAGGCAGCAGTTGCAAAACATGTATCAATGTTACCTCGTGTATTGCAAACATTAAAAAAAACGAAAAAGTGACGATCGCCAACAAAACCGGTGACAACGCATCTCTGACTTTTTCCATGAAAGAGCACGGATTGAGATTTTGCGAGGGTTTTTTTATTTCTCTTGGGCATCGCGAAAATTATTGCACTGCACATCGCTTATTTAAATTCTTCCTTTTCTCATCCTGGGGGAAAAATGCAGATTTGCAACAACAACAAAAACGAAAAATTTGTGCATCCTCCGGAGATTTGCAAAATGTAATACTCTAATTTCAGAAATTTTCGGTGCTCAGTATTTTCGGTATGAGAGCAAAAAGCTAGGTTAGGTGAACAGAAATTTTCGGTACAGAGAAGCAGTTCCTTATTGGGTTATGTGTGTTAGTGTTTGTTCGGTGTATTGAAATTTTAGGTATGAAACAGACGCACCGAAAGTACCGAAAATAAAAGTACACCGAAAATTTGGAAATTTCAATACCCTTTCATTGAATTTGTATTATTGTTGGCTGAGAAAAGAGGAAAAAATGGGTCTGTCCGGGATTTGAACCCGGGACCTCTCGCACCCTAAGCGAGAATCATGCCCCTAGACCAACAGACCGCATGCACATTGTGGAGTGTTCTATAGAAGTATCCATACTGTGGCGGCGGGGGTGCAAAGGTATGTGTGTGTTGTGGGATCCAGCTTGCTGCTGCATGTGTCATGGCTCATGGCATACTGTCGAACATTCCTTTCATTGAATTTGTATTCTTGTCTGAGAAAAGAGGAAAAAAATGGGTCTGTCCGGGATTTGAACCCGGGACCTCTCGCACCCTAAGCGAGAATCATGCCCCTAGACCAACAGACCGCGTGCACATTGTGGAGTGTTCTATAGAAGTATCCATACTGTGGCGGGGTGCAACATAAGGTGTGTGTGTGTGTGTGTGTGTGTGTGTGTGTGTGTGTGTGTGTGTGTGTGTGTGTGTGTGTGTGTGTGTGTGTGTGTGTGTGTGTGGTGTCGGATCCAGCTAGCTGCATGTGTCATGGCTCATGGCATACTGTCGAACATGACAGGCCTGTCTATTGATACCACAACAAAGGAAGCAGGCAGAGTAGACAACAGTACAGTCCATTCATTGGAAGCTGGTCACCCAAACTTTTTGGTGTTTCCAGCATACATGTAGTTATAGATATCGTGAAAACAACAATGCATCCTGCATTGTGTGACCGGTGCATCCTGCATTGTGTGACCCGTGCAATTATTCCTTGCCATATTTGAGGCCAGAAAAGTCCAAGAACAGGGAAATAGAAATTCAGACCGGTTTCACAAAAAATTAGGACAAGTATGCCATGGTAAAATGTATGGAGAAGCATATCCTAAACCTAGATTTTGATATCTAAAGTGGGGTTTTCATCCTTAATTCGGCCCAAATTGGACTTTCAAAAGCCAGCGGGACTGTTTCCGATGAATGGACAGTGTATTGCTGAAGAATGGATGGGTGCACACCTACAGTACATCCATATCTCACTTATCCTGGAGGTCAGGGACGACCTGTTCTGGGCACTAACCAGAACGTTGGAACTCTGAATCACATGCAGGGATGAATTTACTGGCATGTTTTTGCATAGCAGTTTTTCCTATGCAAAATCTCAATTGTGGCGTAAGCTACAAAAAGCATGGATAGCCTGTATGTGTATGTATCTCAGTTTTCTGCGTGTCACTGTGATTTTTGAGTAGCAGTAGATCGATTTTGCGTAGCAAACTGCGATGTGATACCGGATGAATTCATCCCTGACATGCGTTTCAACCGGAACAGGCAGCGACCTGGCATGTGAAGTCACTATTTTTCAAAACAAAGCGAAAGGAGTGGTAATATCTCCACTAAAACTTTAAATTATCGTCTCCTCTTTTTTTTTAAAGGTACGCAAGCTCCTCAGCAGCCACTTCACTGTTACATGAAAACCCCTACACACACCATCCTCAAATCAAGTGGTCTCTTCGCTGCAAATTACTACTAGCTCAATCAAATATTGTCTCCTCACTGATTATTCGTCAATGTGCCGTTTCTCTTCCTGTCGTAGGTGTACGAAGAGATCGAGCATGACCTGGAACTGATCGGTGCCTCGGCCATTGAGGACAAACTGCAGGAGCGTGTACCCGAGGCCATTGCCAACCTGGCGCGTGGCAACATGAAGATCTGGGTGCTGACTGGCGACAAAGAGGAAACAGCTATCAACATCGGTGAGCGTGCCGCCGTTATTGTGGGCGGAGATGTGACAACTGTGTAGTCCGCTCTCTCATTTTACGTATGCCGACCTTAAGTCTGTGAGAGTTGAAACGGGGAAGAAAAAATGACTACCACCCCCAGGCCCTCCAACTGTTCATTTGTTCAAAGTTCAGGAGCCTGGAGAAGAGTAGCAACTGTGGAGGCTCCTGGCTAGGCTGCCTGTCGTTGCAGTCAAATACTGTTGAAGTTGCCTGTCCATACATGGCCGCGTGGCCCAACGGATAAGGCGCCTGACTACGAATCAGGAGATTCCAGGTTCGAATCCTGGCGTGGTCGCATCTTTTTTTCCGGTTGCATCTTTTTTCCGTCTCACGAAGGAGGCTGTGATTTGCTTTGGACATGATGTAAACCGCTGGTGGGGGTATCTGCCAGAGAGTTATTTATCTTCTTTTCTTTAGCTCTTTTTGTTTTGCTTTTTCCGTCCATATTTTAGTCGTTGCTCTCACTTCCTTGTATTGGCTACACCTGGCACCTGGCGAGAAGGGCTCAAATAAATTAATGGCAATGCCAAAAAATGTAAGGTAAACGGGGGGAGGGGAACTCAGAACACAGAGAAAGAATATCTCTGCTGAATGTTCACCATTTTTGCTACCCTGTGTGTATGTGTGTGTGTGTATGTGTGTGTATGCGTTTGTGTGTGCGTTTGTGTGTTCGTTCGTGCGTGCGTGCGTGCGTTTGTGCGTGTGTGCGTGATACGTGTGTACGTGCATACGTGTTCTTGCATTGACGGCGTAGGCTATGCATGTCGACTACTGACGGCGGACACAGACGTGTACGTCGTTGAAGGGACTACATTCGGTGAAGTGCGAACGTCTCTACAAAAAATCAAGGACATGATACTCGCCGGACGAGTGCTTTTCACCAAACAGACCGGCATCGAGTTCAGGGAAGAAGATCCATTTGAAGTGAGTGAACCCATGCCTTGTAGATGCCCTCTGTCTGTGAGGAACATGGCGTCCGCAACTTGCACCCACATTGGGATCTGTGATGAAATGATTGCATAGGATGTTAAGGTATGGCCGGAGCTACAGGGCTCTGTAGCAGCGTCCTAATGGATTCTGAATTTTCAATTTTTAATTAACTTGAACATTTTCTATGGACGGAAAGCAAAGCACCTTGCTCTCTTTTCTAGAAAGCCTTTTTGTAGATCATGTTGTAAACGTGATGATATGGCACCAGTGCCATAAATTGACGTGCAGGTCCGATTTTAATCCTTGAACACCTTGGATAGTAGTAGTGCACAAGGATACACATCAACCTGCTGTACCTCCTGCACACATACACACACACACACACACACACACACACCTGGCCTGGTGCACATCTGCCAAATGCTTGGCCACGCCGCCCCCGAGACAGGGGAGAGTAGAAGAGAGAGTTTGAGAGAAGTCAGCACTGCCACTAGGAAGCTGCTCCGCCACGACGTCGTCCTCAATTGCAATTGTGTCGCCGAAAGCCAGGAGCAGATGTAAAACAGCGATCACAGGTAGCGCAGTGCTGGTTGCAACACGGATGGCCGATGATTGGTATGCGCTGGGGTGTGGGCGGTGATGCCGGGGCGGGTGTCGTGCACTTGTGCACAGCAAGTCCACCGACACACACACACACACACACACACACACACACACACACACACACACGCACGCCTGCACGCACACACGCGCGCGCACGCACACACACACACGCATGCACTTGCACGTCCATACACACATACAAACACACACACACACACACACACTACTACTACTACTATGATACAGCTACCCTATACGGGTCACGCCGCCCTCCACCCAAGCACGAGCACTATGAGGGGCAGTGGCAAATAAAGAGAATCAGCTAGCAGAACTGGCAAAACAGATGAAACAATGGAGCAGAACGGACGACTGCTGTACTGTAACAACAACCTGACAGCTACAGTGACAACGACTGAAAAATGAACAGGAAGGAAAAAAAAATTCAAAATTTCACGTCACGAAAAAACACTGTCCATGAAAGAATCCACCAAGCAAAAGGAGTGTGGGCATCCGAAATCCCACCAGGACTCCATTAGCAGTTCTTCCACGTTGACGATGTAAGCGGCAGGGCAAGGCCTCACAAATCCGACAGACTTCCACAACGCTTGACCAGTGCACTCATGACGACGAAATATTGAAGTTTCAATTCCCACCATTCCGCCATTGGGACCTTCCTCTCCGCACTCGCTTGTCCACTCCACTGAAAACAACGAGTTGTTCCAGCACTCCACCAGCCAATCCTCAATTTCCACCACTGCATTCTTCGAGCTTGGATTCTTCACAGCACTCGAGGGACAGCTACTCCACTGCGAGTGGTGGACCACGGCCGACGCAGCAGTGACAATATCGAAGTAAATTGTCCTGCAAGCTACATCGCGATTCCGCGCTCCAATCATGCAGCACTACCTTGGCAGTGTGCGAGGGTGCTCCAGGGTCGACTCTGGCTACGCCAGAGTCGCCCTGGGCAGGCAGAAAACTTGGGAGAAAGCCAAGAACACGGAGCTCAGAAAGTGTAACCTGCTCCCAAGGAGCACAAAACAACACACACACACACACACACACACACACACACATACACATACACATACACATACACACACACACACACACACACACACACACACACCACGGCACACGCATGCACGCACATCACTCATCAATGTGTTGTGTCACAAATTGTGTTGTCTTCTCTACTTGTAGGATCCAGGGAAGGCAAAATCGAAGCCAAAGTTTGCTATCGTCATTAACGGACACAGCTTGGTGAGTTTGTGTCAGTATCGCAATTTGCTCAACTCCGATTTGTTAGTACACTGTACAGTTGGTATGTGCAGAGAGAGAAAATCCTCTTGTACGGGCAGAACTCAAAAACAATGTTGCGCATGTACGCATGGATGTCAAAACTAAAAATATGTTATATAAAAGAGCGAATCGTGACGGATGTACTGTAAAGAAAAATTGCCTGAAAAGATTAGTTTAAAACCATTCATTGAGTGACAGTCAGTTTCCCAATCAGTGGCCAGCTTTGATAGTTGGTATGTGATGCAGCTAAAGAGCATTCTTCCTGGACTTGACTACTACAGCGTAACGACAAGTCAGAGTTGAGCAAATTGAGCACATTAAAACTATTGACCATTTCCCGCCAGGTGTAGCCAATACAAGGGAGTGAGAGCAATGAGCCAAGTACACATGGATAATGGAAAACGAAATTAAAAAGGAAGAGGATAGAAGATAAACAACTCTCCGGCAGGTGCACCGCTGGTTTACCTCATGCCCAGAGCAAATCACAGCCCCTCTCGTGAGATGGAAAAAAAGATGCGACCACGCCAGGATTCGAACCTGGAATCTCCTGATTCGTAGTCAGGCGCCTTATCCGTTGGGCCACGCGGCCATGCATTGACAGTCAATTTCAACAGTATTTGAATGCAACGATAGACAGCCAGAAGCTTGCACAGTTGCTACTCTTCTCCAGGTTCCTGGATTTCGAACAAATGAACAGTTGGTGGTCTTGGTAACGACAGTCTGTTTTGCGTACTGTGTCTTCTGATTTTCCGTATTTTGCATTGTTTTTCCGTACTGCCGTGACCCATGTGCATTGCTTGTGTTATGCTTTTTTTTACATTCACATGCGTGTCAGTGGCTGATTTTGCTAGTGCAAAACATGTACCACGACATGATATTAATATTTGTTCTGTTGCGTGTAGTTGAAGCATGTCATGCACTCCCTTTGGCACAGGGATATTCATCGCTCAGCTTGCGCTTTCCATGCTTCTACATACATATCTGTAGCTGGTCGATCCTCCTAAATTTTCCGTACCATTTTGCTCAAATTCCGTACTGCAGACGAAGGAGTGATTTTAGAAAACGTATCAAAAAACCGAAATCAGGACAAAGTCAGGGACCTGCACCACTGGGACTGGTTACGCAACTTTTCACCGTACCTGTGGCTTACCATGCCGTCAGAAACGATGTACTGCACGGATTACGCTCCCACAGGAACCATCCCCAGTTGCACACTCTGGTTTATGTGCTCTTGATGTTAGTGATACTCCCTGAGGGATTTCAATACGCATGTCAGAAGCCGATTATTGTGTTCCACATGTGTATGTGTGTCTGACTATGAGCATATTTCCACTTGCATTTGTTTGTATGTGTGTCTCGGTACATGTGTGCATGCTGTGTGAATGCGTATCACGGTGTGTACTTGTGTTTGCTTTGATGCTGGTCTGGTGCCACAGACGCACGCACTGAACGACATGACGGACATGCTGTTCCTGGAGACGGCGTGCATGTGCCGGGCTGTCATATGCTGTCGCGTTACGCCGCTGCAGAAGGTACGCGGTGTGGGTGTAGCCTGTGTGGGTGTATTGCAATGACCTACAGGGACATAGCTCGCACATCTGTTGTGTGCTGACTATATCCCACTGTCAAAATCTTATCGTTTTGATTATAGAAGATGTTTGCAACCATGCACACGCTTACACTACGACAACACAAACCACCATTGTCCATTCATCAACTACAAGTTCAGTCAAGAAGAAGAAAACCAATTCCAAGGAGACCCAAACACCGGAGAGAGAACTGGGACGCACAATGAGTATGCTCCGAAAACGGCGGTGCTCGGAAGCAAGCGTACATTGTGCACGTACTGGGCGAGGCCAAATTAATCGCGACGCAGCGCACCCAGACCCACGTGGGCCTCAGGTGCGTAGTGATCGCTTGGTCAGGTGCACTGTAGTGCCATGGAAACAAAGATGGTGGCGCATGGAGCGCGTATACCACGAGGTAGAAAGAAAGGATAATAAATACATAAATAAACTGCAGAACGAAAGTGAACGCGAAGAAGAAATAAATTGGAGAGTCTTTAGAGAAATAAGAATGTAGTTCGCGTCTGGCGGAGGGTGCTTGCACCTAGCTAGAGGTGAGAGCAGCACTGTCAGATAATGGAAAGACTGAGTTAGAAAAGGAGAAAGACGACGGAGTTGCAGACTGAAACTACAGGAATTTCAAGTAAGATGTGAACACTAAATTTTTATGCATATTAAATATTCGTGAACGGCAGTTCTCGACAAACACCGGCAACCTCATAGTCGCCATTTCGCCTATGTTTTGATAGATTCTCGGAGCTTTGGCTAAGTGTTATAGCTTCTGGGTGCTTTGGCTAAGTTTGATAGCTTCTCGGAGCTTTGGCTAAGTTTTATAGCTTCTCGGAGCTTTTGCTAAGTTTTATAGCTTCTCGGGACTTTGGCTAAGTTTGATAGCTTCTCGGAGCTTTGGCTAAGTTTTATAGCTTCTCGGAGCTTTTGCTAAGTTTTATAGCTTCTCCGGGCTTTGGCTAAGTTTGATAGCTTCTCGGAGCTTTGGCTAAGTTTTATAGCTTCTCGGACCTTTTGCTAAGTTTTATAGCTTCTCCGGGCTTTAGCTAAGTTTTATAGCTTTTCGGAGCTTTGGCTAAGTTTTATAGCTTCTCGGAGCTTTGGCTAAGTTTTATAGCTTCTCGGGGCTTTGACTAAGTTTTATAGCTTCTCGGAGTTTTGGCTAAGTTGTATTGCTTCTCGGAGCTTTGGCTAAGTTTTATAGCTTCTCCGGGCTTTGGCTAAGTTTTATAGCTTCTCGGAGTTTTGGCTAAGTTTTCTAGCTTCTCGGGGCTTTGGCTAAGTTTTATAGCTTCTCGGAGTTTTGGCTAAGTTGTATGGCTTCTCGGAGCTTTGGCTAAGTTTTCTAGCTTCTCGGGGCTTTGGCTAAGTTTTATAGCTTCTCGGGGCTTTGGCTAAGTTTTATAGCTTCTCGGAGCTTTGGCTAAGTTTATAGCTTCTCGAAGCTTTGGCTAAGTTTATAGCGTCCCACGCATACAGCAACGGACGCACGCTACTCCAGATGTCTCTACGTAGCGTCTTTTTCATGGCTTTAGGAATAAAATGTATTGTGCATGTACGTGTGTGTGTGTGTGTGTGTGTGTGTGTGTGTGTGTGTGTGTGTGTGTGTGTGTGTGTGTGTGTGTTTTTATCACTAGGCACAAGTTGTGGAGCTTATAAAGACACACAAGAACGCCATTACGCTGGCCATAGGTGATGGTGCAAATGATGTGGGCATGATCAAAGGTAATGGCCCAGGCTTGTATCCAACATCCTTCACACCTGAATGTGTGTGTTTGTGCGTACGTGCGTGTGTGCGTGTTTGCGTGCGTCCGTGTTTGCACATGCATGCACATGCATGTGTGTGTGGGGGGGGGGGGTGGGGGTGTGGGCGTGTGTGTGTGGGGGGGGGGGTGCGGGCGTGTGTGTGGGGAGGGGGGCGTGTGTGTGTGGGGGGGGGGGGGTGCGGGCGGGTGCGTGTGTGTGTGTGTGTGTGTGTTTGTATGTATGTGTGTGTGTGTGTTTGTTCGTGGTGTGTGTGTGTGTGTGTGTGTGTGTGTATGTGTGCTTGTGCGTGTTTGTGTTTGTACGTGATAACCTCCGAGTTTAAAAATGTGTAGTATTAAACACTCCATTAAAATACTATCTACATTATGTGTTTCTTGTCTTGTATCTACATGTACTGTTGTCTATCCACACTCTACAGCTGCACACATAGGTGTTGGTATCAGTGGTAAGGAAGGCATGCAGGCTGTGTTGGCCAGTGATTACTCATTGGCACAGTTCCAGTAAGTCTTGCTGTGACTCTGTGTGCGTATGCGTGCGTGCGTGCGTGCGTGTGTGTGTGTGTGTGTGCATGTGAATATGGGGGGGGGGATATGCGTGTGTTTGTGCAGGCACGCGTACATGTACTTGCATGTGTACAAACATGTATGTGCTTGCTGCATTGCTGACTTATATAGCTTGTGATATGAAGTTATGAATGATACTGCCAGTCTGCCACTATCATGCAGACAGTCATCTATCCCGCTAGGTTATGTACTGTAAGTCGACAAATATTCGGCGCATATTTGTTTTCGGCCATATTCGGCCTGGTCGTGTTTGGCCGAAAATTTGTTGGCACCGAAATTTTGTTTTCCAAGGTTCAGTGCGACGGTGTACGAGTATACTGGCGGCAGCAGAACAGGTTGAAACTTTGATGCGGCAGAAATGGGTTTTAGCCCTGGGAGGCCGAAATTTGAATGGGCCCAACATTTGTAGACTAACACAGTAGCTATACTCAGCAGCATGGACTGTGGTACTGCAGTAGCTATACTCAGCAGCATGGACTGTGGTACTGTTGTTCAACTCAGCAGCATGGACTGCGGTACTGCAGTAGCTATACTCAGCAGCATGGACTGCGGTACTGCAGTAGCTATACTCAGCAGCATGGACTGTGGTACTGCAGTAGCTATACTCAGCAGCATGGACTGTGGTACTGCAGTAGCTATACTCAGCAGCATGGACTGTGGTACTGCAGTAGCTATACTCAGCAGCATGGACCGTGGTACTGCAGTAGCTATACTCAGCAGCATGGACCGTGGTACTGTTGTTCATGTACTAACAGTAGCTATACTCAGCAGCATGGACTGCGGTACTGTAGTAGCTATACTCAGCAGCATGGACTGCGGTACTATACTCAGCAGCATGGACTGCGGTACTGTTGTTCATTCTGCCAAACTATAGTTATCTGGAGCGGCTCCTTCTCGTTCACGGCCGCTGGTCGTACATGCGCATGTGCAAGTTCCTGTCCTACTTCTTCTACAAGAACTTTGCCTTCGTGCTCGTTCAGTTCTGGTACGCCTTCTTCTGTGGCTTCACAGCCCAGGTAAGAATAGTTCATGGTGTATGTGTGTGTGTGTGGGTGGGGGTGGGGCTTTGTGTGTGTGTGTGTGTGGGGGGGGGGGGTGTATGTGTGTGTGTGGGCGTGCGTGCGTGTGTCCCATATGGTGCAGTGGTATGTGCAGTCGATTTCCAATCGAGAGGTTGCGGGTTCAATTCCCGACGATTATGGTCGCACACGTCTTTCTTCTCTTTCTCAGACTCTTCCTGACTTTTCTTTCATTCTCCTGGGTGGTTACCAACAACCAGTGTATGCCGGAGTATGTGGTGTGGTGTGTGTGTGTGAAGAAAAAAAATGGAAAAATGAAGAATAGGGATTCACTGGCCAGAAAAAGTCACTTCAAACAGCTGTGTGGTGGATACCAGGCTAAAAATAGTGGCGGTCAATTCATCAGCCTTGCAAGCTGTTGAATGGTGTAATCCCAGCACAAGTTGCTATGTCTAACATAGCTGTTCGCTATCATCGCTTCCGCGATGGGCATGTCTGAGGTCTGAGGTGTGTGCATGCGTGCGTGCGTGCGTGCGCGCGTGTGCTTGTGTGCGTGCGTGTGTGCTTTGTATGTATGTCTGGGCATGCATCTATATGCACGCACTGCATGCCTGTAGGGTGTAGGGTGTAGGTATCCCATTGCTTACACTGCTCTGTGTCTCTGTGTCTGTCTCTTCTTTGACTCATGCAGACGGTGTACGATCCATGGTTCATATCTGTGTACAATCTGCTATTCACGTCACTACCCGTTATTGCGCTGGGAATAGTTGATCAGGTAAGCCAGCCTTCCACGCACTCATTACATGCACATGTGCTTTACAGGAATTTTCACATATTGGTCATGTGACCACGTCCGTGTAGAAAGTGATCATGGTATGTATGCACACAGTGGAACTAACATGGCCGCCGACATCATGTGACCTACAGATGCAGTGGTTGAGTGGAATCGCAACCAATATGGCTGTCCATGGCTGTACGGTCATGTGACAGGCGTGCAGTAGCTCTGTTTGGCGGAAATATTTGAGGGGGGGGGGGGGGGTCGTTTGCCATGGGGCCATGTGCCCATACATCAGTCTAGCATGTGCTGCCAAGCATTTGCCAGGTGTGGTTTGGCATACGTCGACACTAGCAGAGCCACATCGGCCTATCCCAGTGGGTGGTGGCAGCGTGGGTACATTTCCAAATACATCACCATGGTAACACGGTATACCGGTGCTCCAACGGGACTCCATAGCACTCTTTCCTCTTTATGTGACCCGTCTGTTCAGTTGCAGGCCCTGATCTTGTAGTATGGTGCCGCCATGTTGTGAAATTGGCATATAGGCACTAAAGGATGATTTTATAGAAAGGAAAAGAGCGTGGGAGGTGACAGTTATCGCTTCTCGGCCTTTTGGCTAAGATCAAGTGTAGTATCTGTTCTTATCAGTTTGATCGCTGATATGTTGACTATATGTCAACATTCGATCAAATGTATTTTTGCTCCTTGGAGAGTGGCTCGAGGCTTGCCTCACCCTCTCCACGGATCACCCTGGTATTGCAGTTCTTCCAGGTGTGGTCCATTTCCCTTTCTGGGATTATAATCAAATTAGGGAAAGTATTCAAGAAGTTTTCTCTTGATAAAAGAGAGGTTCTGCAAAGCGAAAATCAGAACGAAGTTTCGTGATGGTCCTTGCAAAAGTGTACACAAATTTTCGCAACATTCTTTGCGTTCTGCACATTTTCGTAGTTTGCACTCGCCAAGTGCACGTACGCCATGACCACATCTCACGAAAGTTCATTTCACGTTCCCTGCAAGTTTCGCGTCCAAAGTTGCGAAAGTCCGTGCGAAGTTTCGCACTTCTGACGTAGAGCAAAAGTTTGTACGCATCTTCGTTTGCAAAATTGTATCTCTTACACTGCCTTTCTATCAAACAAATTCTGTTGTACATATCCTGCATGCAGCATACCTTTCTCCTCACATTTGATTTAAAGTTTTCCTGAAGATCCAGCCTATCTTTTCACAGTCATTTGTCACTGCGTAAGGTGTTCCTGAGCTATAAGGTAGTGGTGCTCTTTACGTTGCAGCTGGATATACGTTCTTAACGGAGGGTTTACTGTCATACATGTATTGTCAACAAATTGAACAGAGAACGTGCTTGTTCAACGGAGGAGAGGCTGATGGCTGGTTCTGCTGTGTGCAGTAGAGCTGGCTTACGCTGGGTCTTGTATTTACTGTTCGGATTTAGAGGAAGTGGATAGTGTCATGCGCGCACACATTTTGTACTAGTGTGGGATGTTGGTTACCATAGAGATAGTGTGAGGTCGAAAGGTGTGTTGAGAATGAAAGGGAAATGTCTGGATCTGGACGAAGTGTTGACTGTTGCGGTTGCTATTTCTGACTGGTTTCAATATGCGTGTGATAGATAGAGGAGAATACGACTATGAGAGAGGTGTCATAATGATTGCCACTCTAGTGGGTAGCAGTTCTTAGCTGTAGTAGGAAAGCAGTGTAAAGTCATACTTACCTGGCACAGGGGACGCCGTGATCAAGAAGGTGGCTCCCTCAGGATGAGGCCCCTCCACTGCACTCCGTTGGGGCTGAGGCTTGCGATTTCCCCAAACGTGGGAAACTCGGGTGCACAATTTATGGTAGCGGGGGTTTGCGTTCGCGCAGCCCCTGTACAAAATGAATGAAAAGAGGAAGTGAGGCTGTTATTGTGGCAGAGTTCTTGTCTGGAATATGTGCTATTCCAGTATTCCGGCAGTGTCTAATAGAGTAGCTGTGGCAATGGAAAGTTCAACCAGAATGGACAATTGCAAAATTACTTTTTTGGGATGGGAGATAGAGAGAGAAGTCGCTGTGTACTGAGTAGATATAGCCAGAGTGTCGACTAGTTCCGGTTATCGTGTTGTAAGCCACTGTTTACTCGCGACTCAAACCGAACACTGATGTGAAAAACAATGCAAATAACGAAAACTCTCACAGGTGTTGTTGACCAAATACATCTCGAAAGATAACTGCATTCAGGTACGGACCGACATGCAAGCCTTGTCCAAGAAGTTGGCTGTGAGAGAGTGAGTGTACATGCGATAATTAGAACACGTTGTGGCCTTACGGTGGTAACAGACCGTTGCCATGGCAATATTTTGCAGGAATTACCCCCGATGAGGGGGAAAGCCGAGCCTTGACGTTGTAGTCTTCAATGGTAAATATGGGAATGTCTAGGCTGATAGGTACATTGAAGACGGTCCTGTAGTAAGTGAGAAGATTTTTGCAATGAGTGGCACTGTGTTCTGTTGAGGTATATTTATTTGAAGACGATGGTTTGGAATTCAGCTTTGCGCAGTGGTAGTACCATAGCCAATGAGGTCCAACCGAGGCGTGGTTATTGCTAGTTGAAAACTTTTCCCAATATCCCGCATTGACGACTTGAAACATAGTCGGCTTTGCAATTTTTGAAGGCTCATCCGTGAGCCAACTTTCAATTGAAATCAAAGAAAGAGTGGGATTCCAAATTGAAAACCCAATCGTGTGCTTGTCTAGATCACACTAAGTACGGAAATTGTTGCTGCGTTTTTTTTTGTTTTTTTAATACGAAAGTCCACTATATTCCCGAATATGTGCGAGAACTGGTGGTGGGTACATGCTGTCAAATGCTTTTGGCTATCCAGTTTCGACCTTCCAGACTCTTTCTTCATAATTATCATGCCAGATGCTTTTCCCGTTGATAGGCGATTCACACGACAGGCACTTGCACGTTCTACAGTGAGTGATTCAAAGTGACTGTGTGGATTCACACGGCTGCACTCAACAACAGGCACGTTTGCATTTTTGAATGATTCACCCACCAGTTGCCATGAGTATTTCAAATTTTCAAAACATGCATACAATAATTGTAATGGTGAAAAGAGCCGTGTAAAAAATCAAGTCTTGTTTCGCGCCTTTTGGTGTAAATGTACTCGTGCACGCCTCGATTATCGTGAAAGTGGGCCCCCAGCTCGCTTGCACTTTTCAGCCACTTTCAGCCACTTTTCCCGCTCACAGGTGAAATACCATAGCAACGTTCCGGTGCACGTGGATTTGCCTGTCTTGTGAATCGCCTATTATAGGCGGTTCACACGACAGGCAAATCTACGTTTGTCAGGTGCCCAACGGAAGTGAAACGTGAGGCTGCAGTTCACACGGCTGCGGGTGGCGGCCAGAGCTCCCGCGAGTATCCAGTGAGTATAAGGCGTTACTATGGTGATTTGGAAGGAGTACCCAAAGGCAAAGGCCAAACAACCAGGGTTCAAGACTACCGTACGATAGTACAACCTCACAGCCTCGTCACTGTAAAAGTGCCCGCAGATGAGTGCATCCGAGGGCAAAAAGGCCATGGACGATTTTGATTCCCGCAGCCAAATTTTGGTCACCCGCAGGAATATCTCCATGGTGACTTTCCTGTAAACGTGGATTTGCCTGTCGTGTGAATCGCCTATTACCCTGTTTTGTTTTGAAAAAGAATGAAAAGAAGAAAAAAGAAATGTCCTCCCCGGCCGGGAATCGAACCCGGGTCTTCCGCGTGACAGGCGGAGATACTTACCACTATACTACCGAGGATTGACTGGCAGAGACTTTGCAGCTCCAGCAGAATAGCCTCGCTTCAATGCAATATCTTCTTCTGGAAATGATATCAGTAGCAAAAAAGCCTGGACACGCATTTACCAAGTACAGTTGCGCTCTGTGAAATCCGGCCCAAAGTCCGAAAACTGGTGCCCTGAAAGAGTTCTGCTTTCGTCACTCTATTTTGTACTTGTGTACGTTCAGCCACGTTTGTACCTCGTCATTGAAAAAGAGCTTGTTTGGTGTCTTGAAAATGCCTGTTGCCTTGGGAAATCTCAGAAGGATGGGACATAATTAGTTGTGCAAATCACCTTGTATCTGAACTCGTCATGCAATCCTGGTCAATAACTATGCTGGCTAAAGTCAAGATTGCAGGTGTAGTGTGGATATCAGATCTTGAGATTGTAATTGGCTGTTGCCATGGAAACTTGTTTGTGGCCGGCAAGGATGTTGCCAAAGTTACGCTTGATGCTCTTGTTCATTTGAAAAAGCTGACTTGCACTCCTGACGGAGATCTACGATTTCATTCTTGAGTCTAGTAGGATATCTCGGCAGGCTAAACCTATTCCGTAACTACTGGCCCTAAAGAACAGCATGTAATAAATAGTTTGTCTGGAATCTTGTGAAGTTCATACTCTGGTTTACCTTCAACCACGAATAAATCTTTCGCCTTTTACTAAAGATTTCCGTGGAGGTGGACATTGAAGGAGTCTTCAAATGAATTTTTCTTTAGCCCTTGCTCATTGAGCAGGGCTCAATAAATTACCAAAAGGAAAGAGAAAAGCCTTTTTTCAGTTGTTGCACTTCAACTTCTGTCTTTTTCTTCAAAACGAAGGTGCTACGACATGAAATCGCCGACCGAGCAATTTCACTTGTAGTCTATCTATGCATACACATTGTACCAAGAGTGTGCAACTGCCTGCACAACCTCTATACTGTGCTGCGACGGCAGAACTTCACATCACGTGACATGGTTCAAAAGGTTATGCTGGCAAACAGTGCAAAGTGACCACAAGGGAGTTGTACCCAAAGCTGGGCTGCGTACAACCCAGTATCTATCATGCACTAGAGTGCACGGGTTCATCACGTGATGTGAAGTTCTGCCGTCGCAGACCCCATAGCTGGAGTTGCACACTCTTGGGTTATGTACTCTTGATTATACCAATAGTACATAACCCCCCAGAGTGTGCAAC